AGTTTGTCTACAATACAACAGCATTTCAAAAGCTTATTTTTACCGGTTTGAGACAACCAAGTTATTATTTGCTACCCCACTTATATACAGTTGATTTTTTTTCGGATTTTAAAAGTTTTCGTTTACTTTCCAAACTTTCCAGTTATATGTTAAACACCGCAGCAAACCTCCTCCTCTCCCCCCCCCTAAAATCGCAGCTGAAGTTAATTTTACACTGTCTGACGAAGGTTGGTTGGAAAGGCTGGCAAAAGCGCAAGTATCCCGGATATATCTGCGTAATTCATTAAAAACCGCAGCTTCAGTGAACGCAGCGGTTTCAGCACCACAAAGGTTTTAAGCACAACAAACAGAAACGTACCATTTTCGAATACAAACAGCACTGCTAAAGATCCTGTACGCTCGACGTACTCAACAGCGTTTCCTACTCTGCCAAGAGTCCGTTTGATCTTCAGTCTTACAAAATAAGGCCAAGAGAGAAATTTACCTATAACTAGAGCTCCACATTCCCTACTAGGTTTTCGGCCACTTTTGAAGTCGTAGAAAACTGAATCTTCACTGACTAGAATATCTTAAGATGTCCTCCAGCAAGCAAACGCGTGGCGACGTAGATTCCGCGTAGTCCAGATACCGTTCAGTTTTTAGCTAGGACACCGATTCGAAAACTTATGATTATGAGACTATAAAACGATCATGTACTGCAGACCAGCCGTGCAGCATCGCGAAAAACGAGTGATTTAAATGGTTGCCAACTCATAATTACACAAACTCATAACACTGGTATCGATTCTAACTAGCACACAATAAGCAGATAAAAACAGACGGACCGAAAAGACGAATGGCGAGAAATGTCGTCCGACCGGCTAGGTAGACAAGTAACAAACAGCGAAACACAAAACTTCTACCTGAAGCGCCCGAAGACCTAAAAGGCGTTCCTAATATAGCGATATATTCCGTCGTTGAAACGTGCAACAAGTGAATTTTGCCGCTGAGGCCGCCAACGTTGAATGCGAACCATGTTGGTCGATGAACGGATCTTTTGTAGGTCACTTCTTCGGGCGTAAGACTACTTAAGTAGTCTACAAAGCCCTTAGACGACACAGGAATAAGATGACTTGGATAGCTGCGCTTCAACTCCGAATAGATACCTTCTAAACAATTCGAAGGTGGCTGCCCTGAATTTACAAGTTACAGAGGCAGCAGGGCTAAAAAACTCGGCGAACTTACCCGCAAGCTTCTCGCCGACACTTTTGATGTGGCGCGGTGAAAATATATAAGCCTTTCTTGCTAGGTAGTACTGTACCAGTGTGCAAAGTACACTCAGTAAAACGATATATCGAAAGACCTTTATCAACCACCTCGCCATCGCACCTACTTAGCCAATAAACAATGAAACATTGAAAACCACGTTTCGAACAGTACCAATTTGATCATCAGGTTACATAGCTGGTTTGAAAAGAGCGTTTCGTTCAAAAACTTGTCTAACTCAAAGTGATGTATTAACGAATGACTCTTCAAAGATCAAATTTAATGGCATATCTCAAGGACCTCTTGCATATAATTGCCAGGTTGCAGACTTAATTAGGCCACGGATGAGCAGTGTTTGAACAAATGCGGTGCCAAAACCAACTTGCCTCGTCTTTTAGCTGTCACCTCGTGCACGTCACGAACGATGTTTCTGGAGCTGGTACTCATTAAGCGCTAAAGCACCCATGCCGTAAGATATTCGTTCATCAGCGAACGTAAAGTAATGAAAGGCTTTTTCAAGACCATATTTCACGGTGCATCGCATCGCCTCCTGTTCCTAGTTGCGTAGGAGTGCCTCCCCCAAGAACTGGAGGATTACTTTTAATGAGGCGGCAGCTGCATCAACAAAAAACAAATGCAAACAAGCAAGCAAAAAAGACAAGTAATAAGGTCCAATGAAAAGCACTTCACATGCTTGCGGAAAACCTAGCGGACGGTTAAAGAGAGTGATAGAGTAGCAGCGGCAGGAAGCAACACAAGAACCTGGGACCAAAAAATACGATGTGCGAAAGTGCACGGCATGCGAAGAACAGCAAGTTGACTTGTGGACAAAATTATGAAATTACGAAGCGCGAAGAAAAAAACTGAGGTAAGACGAAACGCATCGGAACTTCGTCACTGCAGCTTTCAACTCTGTATAGAAACAAAACAAATGCAACGACAATGAGAAATAGCACACAACAGATAGTTCAGAATAAGCATGGCGAACAAAGGATAGCAGCACGCGCCAAACGAAAGGAGAACAAAAAAGCGTGCAGAGTAAACAAATTGAACAAATACAAGACACAACATGGGGTCAATCGTGTGTTAGCCAAAAATATCTTTAATGTGAAATGGAACTCGCGGAAAGGGCTGCGATAAACTAGAATGAAATACAAACCACATTAAAAGACTTTAAGTCAAAGTCAAATAAAAACACATGACAAACAATACAAGGAAAGGGAAACAAAACGAAACTTTCAGCAAAGAAGAGAACTACTCGACATTGGCCGACAAGGCAGCAGTAGCAGTAAACCGCAAATAAAAAAATTATCATCATCATCATCATCATCTTCCATCGCCGCTTCTCCTTTCGGATCGCGGAGGCAGACGCGTCAGACAGTGCTTCCAACGTTCC